TTGAAGAGGCGTGCACTTTCTTTGGAGAGAAGAAGTAAAATCTTCTTTTTATTTCAGCATATATATATATATAAATATAAATTTAAACAGATTACATCAACCAACCGATCAAATCAGATCGACCGAAAATCATGCATACACATCGCATGAAATTTTACGTATCCTTCCGTGAAACAACTTCACGGTGGATTTCATTTTTTTTGAATTTAAACTCAACAGAAAAAATCATTAATAACAAAAACTGTTTATCTTTTTTCCCCTTATTTTATTCTTTATGACTTTCTTTCCCTTGTAACTTATTTCAAATGAATCTAGGCTATAATCTCATACCATAAACTCTTCTAATAAATTGAAGGGATCCAAAGTTCCTGTTATCACTTGGTGTGATTCATTTTCCCTGTACTTTCAAATGCCACTTAATTTTCATACTACCTTAGCGGTTATTTTTGTTCATAATTCTCTTGAACTTAGAACTTGGTATAACTTAGAATTTACAGTATTGCTCCGATTAGTCAAGTAATGCTATATGCCTATATCTCTATTAACTTGGAATCACATTGATGTCACTTGTAAACATCCACACAAAAAATACATGGTCACAGAAGGAGCCATATCTGGACTGTAAGGGTGTTACTGGCATTGAGACCTGCCTTCCTTTCTGCTTATTGTTTCTTCCTTCAAGTCTATGATATCCCACCTAAGTTTGGCATTACGGTGGGATTCAGCTAAGTTTTCTTGTGCAGAACAACTACATCAGAGAAGTGAGGCTTTATGATTTTTCACTTTGTTTCTTTTTGAGATCAATTTGATGAAGGTTTAGGTTGTTAATATGTGGGATCTCACTAGGAACCAAGGCTCTATTTTGTTCCTCAAAATGCAAATTTCTCTGTTAGTGAGTGTTTGTGCTGGTGGGGATTAAATGAGTTCTTCTAGCATCTTATAAGGACACTGACCAATTTTAGGTTATGTCCTTCAGCAATAGTCAATCCGTTAAATAAATTATTCTTTAATATAATCTGCAAGTGCTTTAATTGATCGATTGTGTTTCACCTGCTGAATCATGTTTACCCATTTCAGTTTTTGGTGAACCTGTAGACTTTGGGTTATTGCATTATTCCATAAGCTATATGTTATAGCATTCATTGGATCTGAAAGGGAAGGTGGGAGTGCTAATATGTGTTTAATTCTCTCTCTCTCCCCCTTGTTTTTTGTCTCACTTTTTGTGGGTGGTATGCAGGAGCTGCAAGACAGAGTGGCAAAGGCTGAGGATTCCAATGATGAATTGATGAAAGTGGGAAGAGAGATTGTGGATTTTCATGGAGAGATGGTTTTGTTGGAGAATTACAGTGCACTTAATTACACAGGTGTGTAAATTCTCATTTCATGTTCCATTCTGAATGTTTTATATTTCCATCGGCAATCATGGAAGTTATAGTGCTTTAGATGTTGCTTATGGTTTTTCTGAAACACTGTATTAGAGTGGTTTGCTGTGAGCTTTATTGAGTTGAATAAAGTGAGGGAGGAAACTGAGGGGACTTAGTTTTTGCCAAAGCAAATGTAAAGCAGATAGAAAACACCCGAAGCAACAAAACAGGATGCTGTACATTCAAAGTTAGGTATGGTCCAATAATCGCTTGGATGTTTGGATCTAGCTGCAGGGAGTGGCTGGATGAGCTTTTGGTAATATAGAAAATGTGAATAGGAATGACTTTATTAAGATGGTTCTATGTTACCAACTTATGGTAGGATGCCATTGGACCGAGGATATTGTGAGACTAAGGTTTTCAGTTTGTCATGGAAACACCTTGTTTGGTGCTCGGGTGGCCCGACATAATTAGGATTGTTTTTAATTGATAAACGGACTATTACACCAATTAATTCTCCTTTTGGAAAAAAAGAAAGATGATTCTTTCAGTTTTGTTTGATATTCTATTCTTCCAAAACTTATGGTAATCATTTGTCTTATCAAACCATGTTATGTTGCACGTAGGACTGGTGAAGATCTTAAAGAAATATGACAAACGAACTGGTGGTCTCATTCGCATGCCTTTCATTCAGAAGGTCTTGCAAGAACCATTCTTCAAAACTGATGTGCTTAACAAGCTTGTAAAGGAATGTGAAGCAATACTTGATCACGTGTTCTCTATGAACATATCATCATCACTTGAAGAAACTAAGGATGATAATGAGGGTCCCAACCATTCCACTCTGAGTAAAGAAATTCCTTTATGCGTTCCTAAACAACTTGCTGATATTGAGCATATGGAGAGTATGTATGTTAAGCTAACTTCATCAGCATTGCGTGTTTTAAAGGAAGTTCGTAGTGGAAGTTCAACACTGAGCATTTTCTCACTGCCTCCTATGCAAAGTAATGCCTTGGAGGAGGACTGGAAGAAAATTCCTGTCTTAGAACAGATCGCCAAATAGCTTTTAACATCTGGGGGAGTGAAAGAGATGGATCATAGAGAGTTTTCCATTTCCAATCCCTCTCTCCCTCGCCTTTTACTTGTCCAGGCTAATTTTTTCAGTAAATTGGCTAACACTAGATTATGTACACCAACTGTTGTATCTTTAAATTAAACTACCCTTTGGAAGAGGGATATCTTTTCTTCTTTTGAAAAAAAAAAAAAAAGAA